CTTCCAAACTTTGAGTTTCTTGTTTCATTCTCTTGCTTTCCAGTATAACTTTACTGCATTTTTTCTATCCTTATACAGTATATTATATAATTTTATGGGCTTTTGAATTTATGTAATAGAATCTCCTCACAGAATAAGAATTGTTCTGTCACTTACTTTTTTTTAGTCAACATTATGTTCCTGGAATTCAACCAGCTTTCACTGTTGTGTAGTATTTCATTTCATGAATATATAACAGTGTATACATAACACTGTATTTATCCACTCCATTTTAGGCATATGTAGGTTATTTTCAATGTGTTTGTTGGTGTTGCCCTTATAAACAGTGCTGGTATGTACTAATGTACAATGTACACGAGTTGCTTTGAGGTCTATACCGAGGAATGGAAGAGCAGGATCATCAGGTTCATATATACATACATATTTTCTAGTTTTACAAAGTATCGCCAAATTATTTTCCCAAAGTTATTGAATCAATTACACTCCCACGAGCAGCGTATAAGTATGTTGTTCCACATTCTCACCATCATTTGCTATTGTCCAAATTTTAAATTTTGCCATTCTGAAGGGTATGAAATTATCTATCATTCTATTTATTTTTATTTTTAAAATTTTTTAAAATTGACATGAAATACACATAACATAAAATTTACCATCTTAATCATTGTTAAGTATACAGCTCAGCGGCATTGAGCACATTCACATTGTTGTACACCGTCCCCACCGCCCATCTCCAGAACTCTTTTCATCTTGCAAAGCTGAAACTCCATACCCATTAAGCAATAACTCCCCACTCTCCCCTTCCCCCGGCCCCTGACAACCACTGTCCTTTCTGTCTCTATGAATATGACCACTCTAGGACCTCAGAGAAGTGGAATCATACGGTATTTGTCTTTTTGTGACTGGCTTATGTCACTTAGCATAATGTCCTCAAGGTCCATCCATGTTGTGGCATGTGTCAGAATTTCCCTTCTTTTTAAAGCTAAATAAAATTCCATTGTGTCTATGGACCACAGTTTGTTTATTCATCTGTTGATGGCACTTGGGTTGTTCTACCTTTTGGCTGTTGTGAATAATGCTGCTATGAGCATGGGTGTGCAGATAGCTCTTTGAGATCCTGCTTTCAATTCTTTTTGGGGATACACCCAGAAGTGGAATTGCTGGATCATAGGATAATTCTATTTTTAATTTTTTAATAAACCTCATACTGTTTTCCATAGTGGCTGCACCATTTTACATTCCCACCAACAGCACACAATTTTTCTAATTTTTCCACATTATTGCTAACACTTGTTATTTTCTGTTTTGATTAGGTTTTGTTTTGTTCTGTTTTTATAGTAGCCATCCTACTGGATGTGAGGTGGGATAACTCATTGTATTTTAATTTTTATTTTTCTGATTATTAATGAGGTTGAAAATCTTCTCATATTGACCATTCTCTTAGTGAATATCTGAAAGTCTTTGCCCATTTATATTTTCAGTTGTCCCATCCATATTGATTTGTAAGAGTTCTTTATATATGCTGGGTATCGATCCAATTCTACTGCTATAAATTTCTTCTTCTGGGTTGTGGCTTAATTTCACTTTCTTTACATGTATTATTTGTAAATAGAAATTTTTAATTAATGAAGATTTTCCTTACAATTTGTAGTTGTTAGGAATTGTTTAAGAAAAGCTTCCCTATCCAAGGGGAAAAAAAGTATCTTAAATTATTTTCTAAAAGTTTTACAGTTTTAACTTTCACATCTAAGTCTTTGATCTATCTGTGATGAATTTTGTTTTAATGTGAGACAGAGATCCAATGTCATTTTTTATGCATATGGATATCGTATTGTCCAAGTAGTCATTTTTGAAAAGACTTTATTTTCCCCCGTTGAGCTACTGTGAAACTCTGTTATGCCTCACGTGTAACTATATGTGTGGGTTTGTTTATGGCTCCCTTTTCTGCAGGACTGGTTTATTTTTTCTGTCCTTTTGCCAAACCTACACCATAATTATTTAATTACTATAGCTTCTTATCCATTCTTAACATCTTTTCTTCTTCAGCAATGTCCTGGCTTTTCTTGACCTTTTGCCCATTCATATACATTATGTCAAATTCCATCCAACAAAAAAAACCTGAGACTTTTTTTGCTTTGAATCTAAACATCAATTTCGGGAAAATGGACATTTTGATGATCATCTCACCCACACACACGTAAATATCTCCACTTACTTAGATCTTCACTAATATCCTTCAATAAAAGTTGTATAATTTTTCACCATAAAGGTCTTCACTAACTTTCCTAGATTTATTTATAGTCACCTTATCCTTTTGTGCTATTGCAAATGATACAATTTTTAAATATACGGTTTCTAACTGTTGCTGCAATAGAGAAATACAATTGATTTTTTATGTTGATTTGTACTCAGCAAACTTGCTAAATTCTCATTTGAGTTTTCCAGGTTGGAAATATATCATCTGCAAGTGACAACAATTTCGTTTCTCCCTTTGAAATTCTTTCATCTCTTATTTCTTTGTCTTGCCTTATTGTGCTCACTTTCCAGTATGACGTTGACTAGAACTGGTGATTGGAATTGATTTTAACATTACTGTATAAAGTACAATCTTTGCTATACATTTAGAGAGAGATGAGTAGAAGGGAGCTTGTTTACCATAAACTATAACCAATCCCCACTGCAAATCCGTAGTAAGGCCATCTTGGATCCACAGCTTCCCAGGAATTTTTGTCCCCCTTCCTCCTTTAGCATCTGTGCACCTTTCCCTGGGGTTGGACTTCGGCTGGGCTTACTTCTTGTTCTTCTTTCTCTGCTGTTGTGTCCCTTTGGATCCTAGCTTAACGGAAGGAAGAGTTCGCTGTTAGACTCCCCACCCAGATGGAGGCTCAGTTCTTGACTTCACCCTTCAGTGTTACGTCTGCCAAAGCTGAAGCCCAAGTTTGTCGGATTCAAGAATACTCTCAAAGCGACTTTGGGGCTCTGCTTCTCTCTCTGTTTCTCACTCTCCTTTAGATTTTTCCTGATGTTGATTACCATATTGTCAGTCATTTTTGCTTTTAAGGACACTTTTTTTATACTGTAGCCAAATTGTTAGTTGTATATAATGGAAGCGTTGGTTCAAATAACATAACATGCCACACGAATTGAAATTAATCACCATCTCTTTTTTCACTACTGCCAAAGAACAGAGTAAGTGCATTCTTAAATGTCCCTTCAGAAAGGTTATTGCTCCTGAAAATAGATTCTGTAGAGAAGATATCTCTCAAAAGAGGAAGGAAGACAAATAAATAGGAGAGAGATAGAAAGTCTCTGATTCTGAATGTAGCCTAATAATATCTGTGTGGTTAGCAGGTGTCAGTAGAAGAGGCGACAGGAAAGAAGAAAGGAAGGAATGAACAAAGGAAGGAAGGAGTGAGAGAACAAAAGAAGAAAGGAACATAGGTATAATTGGATGTATTCATTTCCCACTGTAAAGTCTGATAGACATTGTGCACTACAACCAAAGCTATCAGTGGCCTTAAGCCATTATTTAGTGCCGAAGGTGAATCACCGTGTCTCAATAAACGGACCATATCATGTGACAGTTCTCTCCTGGTACTCTGACTAAGTGTTTGTAAAGTGCTTACGTAAAGCTTATTAAATGTGCTTGCAAACCTAGGATATTGACTTAAATTACAACTGTGGTATGCAGGCAAGGTAGATGGGAGAATTTCCTGAAAGTGGGTATTGTGAAACCAGGACACACAAGCATTTGGTGGAATCTCCTTCACAGATGGTGTTTTAGCTTTTCCATGATTCTATGAGTCTCTCTCTATATGTGATAAAATCAGCGTTCTCCTGCGGGAAGAATGGGGATGGGCAGGATGCCCCTGAGTTTCATTGCAAGCTAATGGTTCTAGTAACCTAACGCTTTGGAAATCAATGGCTGAACCTCAATTTGGGTCAAAAGGAAATCTTCCTAAGAGGCTATGAGATTGTTTTTAATAGCTATGGGAAATAGAGGAAACCCCTGACATTGTCATCAGCTCAAATTTCATTGTCACTAAGGCTGCTGCACTGAAATGGCATTTTAAAGAGTCTTAAAATAAGTGCCTATTTGAACAAGTAACCAAATTCAGCCTACATTCTGAGATCCTCTGAGCTCCTTGAGTTTCTGAGTTTACTTTAGTATAATAACATGGTGTCTCTTTTGCATGAGAAATTTTGCTAGAATCTCCTTTGGCAACGTCTTCTTAGTCCATAACTGCTTGGGTGTGCAGTTGTTGGTGGGAAGAGTTCTGGCTTTGATCAATGGGTTTTCTCTGCAAAAGGGCCGTGGCTGGTAAAAGTCTTTTTAGACACCAGGAACATATCCTTTCTCTGGAAACCAGAAGACTTTACTACCAGCACGTTAGAATTTCAGTGTTATAAGTAGGCTTCAAAAATCATTTGGGCCTGAGAGACTTTGCACAAAACTCTAAAATGTGCTTTCACCCCAAGACCTTGAGACCTTCTGTAGGATTGCTAGCATCTACTATATAGGTGTCCCTGCCTCCCATCTCTCTGTTATCCAATCTGTCTGGCATACCACAGTCAAATTAATATTTCTGAAGAAGTTCTGAGCAAGCCTTTTGCGTGTGTGTGTGTGTGAGGAAGATTGGCTCTGAGCTAACCTCTTTTTGCTTGAGGAAGATTGTCACTGAGCTAACATCTGTGCCAATCTTCTTCTATTTTATGTGGGGTGCCGCCACAGCATGGTTTGACAAGCAGCGCTAGATCCGTGCCCAGGATCTGAACCTGCAAACCCTGGGCTGCCAAAGCGGAGTTCGCAAACTTAACCACTGCACCACCGGACCAGCCCCAACAAGCAAGCCTTTCTTTAAATTGGGAATATCTCTTGATTATCTCTAACTTTTTGAGGTTCCGTCCGTCCAATGCTATTTCTGACTTTTGCTGCTTGGCCCCCACCCGCCACCTCACTCTCACACCACATTCATCTTCACTTTCCACCTTTGCTCGTTTGTTTAGAAAAGCGTAGGCGCTGACCCAGGACTTCCTTCTTCCTCTCCATCTCTCCACCTCTCCCCTCTACCTCCTGCACTGACCTCCGCTGCTCCCTTCATCAGAACAGAGTTGCCCTCTGATTCTTAATTATTATCCTGATCACTGCCTTGAAAACATCAGACTGCAGAAGAATGGGGCACATATGTACCACCTCCTGCCTTCGCTCTCCAGTCCTCATTCCTCAATTACAATAATAATAGCAGCAACTGTTAAGTGTTTGAAAGATTTCTTTTAATTCTCGCCACATCTGTGACACTGATGAAGAAAGCCAGAATCAGGGAATTTAGCTTCCCCTCGGTCATTCAGCTGCAGCCGAGATTAGAATCCAGAAACCTCTGGCTCCGAAACAATTACACTTTATGACTTTTTGATGACAGGAGAATTTCACTTCCCTCCCTGTTTTCTTTTTCTTCTTTCCAAGGGTCCCTAGTAGATGATTTAGTTATTTAAGATGTAATGTGGTATAGAGGAAAGAGGCGGGCTTTGGAACCACGCAGACCTGAGTCGGAATTACGTCTTCTGGACTTATTAGTGGACTGGCTTTGGGAAAATGACTTAACATCTCTAGATTTTGATTTTCTCATCTTCCAAAGTGAGGTCACAATGCCCTAGAACCCAACCCACGGCTTGGTATGTCATAGACATTCAGTAAATATATACTGATTCATTTTTCTCCTCTCTCTTTCCCTTATTATTTTTCTCTTCTTTCTCTCATTCCCTCTTTCTCATTATTGTCTTTGATTCTGTCTCAGATTGGTCAAAATATCCAGGAATATTAGGGGACAACTAGGAAAATTTAAATACTAGATACTTATTGGTATGATAAAATGTGATTTTTTTAGGTATGGTCGTTGTACTATAATTATGTTTTAGAAAGAGTTCTTTTTTTCAGAGATACATGCTTAGGTGGATGGATGCTTTATGCCTTATGGATGCTTTGATATGATGTCTTGGACTTGCTTCAGTAAAACCCAGTGAAGTTAGGGGTTGAGGGACAAGAGTGAGTAGAGATATGGACAAAACAAGATTGGCTAGATTGAGCAGTGGGTACACAGGGATTCATTTTACTATCAGTCTCTACTTTTGTGTATGCTTGAAAATTTCCAAAATGAAACATTTTCTAAAATGTCCAAGAGAAAGTTCAGTCCTCAGTATCTTCCTCATGTTCACCAAAGTCCCCAGTTCTCCCCAATGACATTCTGGGCAGCTTTTCTCCTTGCTTTTCCCAGTACTTTCTGGGTTGTTCCAGACTCTGTGCCAGTGGAGTGCCACACTGCCTCAGCCCCCACAGCTGGCGATTGGACAAGAATCTCTTCCTGACCCCAGATGGCATCACAGCTTCCTCAGTCTGATCCTGTCAGCATATTTTTTCCAGGCACCTGATTCTTGGACGTGGCAGCAATAAAACCAACCGAGATTATTTGGCCGGCCCCCTCTGGAGCAGGTAGTTCCCATTCTGACGCTGTCAGCCATCTGAGCATTCTGCTTCCAAAAGCTCCGAAATAACAGCCGAGTAAGAACTTCCCAGACTGCAGTGCATGCTTTTAGACTTCTGGCCAGAGTGTTCCTGAGGGATGGAGAGCCGTTAGGGCAAACGACATACTAATATTACTGATTATTAATGGAAAAGCTCGTGCAAATAAGCAGTTTTATGGGTTGCATTTCATTGGGAAGCTGGCATGAGGGCAGGAAGAAAAGCAAAGAGCAAGCACACATGGGGTTTATTTACTCTGCTGTTGGTCACACCGTATGGACCCTTTAGGTTAAATGTACATCAGACTCCAGTTTAACTGAAGTAAGAAGAAGGGCTGAGTATCCCAGTCTTGGTGGTTTCATAAGGCACAAACACAAGAAGATATCAGCAGGGTAGGTCAGACCAGGTTGGTGTAGGGGGCTGGCCCAGTGACCTCAGCAGGCGGTTCTCGGATGGTGCTTATGACTGAGCCCTTGAGGGCACGCGGGTATTTTCTATGGTGTCACAAGTTTATAGGGTGCATTGGGAACAAAGATCTTCGTATTGGGCTGTGGTTTACTCCTCAGGTCACAAGACAAAATCCCAATTTCATTCATTCTATAATGATGCTTTCAAGATGCAAGACTTGGAGAATAGGCTTTCCAATTATTCTTTCCAGGCCGGGATCCACCCTTGCTTCCAACGTCATATGTCACTTCATACTTTCACAGTCCTTCAAATCTCTTCTCCCGTCTGAGCTTCATGAGCCGGGAGGTAAGGCCGGTACTATTTACCCTATTGGGCAACTTGGGAAACTAAGGCTAAAAGACACGGTGACGATATGACTTGCCCAAGGCCACACAGTCTCCGTGGTGCAGCTGGCACAGGAACCCAAGGCTCTTGCCCTCTCTTCTGTGCTTTTCTTTCCACATCAAAACTAGCACAGTGTTGTTACGCTCAAAGCCGTCAGGGTCTTCAAGGAAATGGTCTCGGGAGAGTGGCTCAGAAGCAGACAAAGTAGACTTCTATTAGGCTCCACCGCCAGCTCTCTTACCCGACAAAATCCAGGTAACACTGACCACTGATACTCATACTACCGGATGAAGATGAGAACAATGATGATAATGGCCCTAGATAACTCTGTCCCCTGTGCAGTGCTGAAGGGAGGGCGTACCTCCCTCCCTGCCAGAGAGCAACAAGCATTCGATGCCACAAAGATCCGATGACAGCCTGGTGTGTCTCTAGCGCTGGGCCAGCAGTTACTGAGCTTTCTCATTAATCTAGATGTAATGTTTCCACTCCAAACTGTCCTCTATTTTTCCCTTTCTTCAGTTTACCTATGTTGAGTACCTACTGTGTGCAAGGCACTGGGCTGGACCGCGAGGATGCAGCAGTCAACACCACTTTCCATCTGTGTACCAGTATACTCACTTCCACCTTTGTCGCTATTTTTTACCTGGAATGCCCACTTCCCTCCTTCCTATGAATGCACTCCTTCCGTTCTTTTATAATACTGCTCCAAAGTAGCCTTCTCTTTGAAGCTTTTTCCTGTCTGCCTCTCCTAACAATTCAGGTCACTCCATTCCCCAGTAGAGCTCTGTTACTTTTGATTACAGGTGGCACAATTTTCTTCTTTTATTTATTTATTTTTTTTGGTCAGGAAGATTGTCCCTGAGCTAACATCTGTGCCAATCTTCCTATATTTTGTATGTGGGATGCCCCACAGCATGGCTTGATGAGTAGTGTGTAGGTCCACACCCGGACTATACAAGTAAACCCGTGAACCCCGGGCCGCTGAAGTGGAGCATGCAAAATTAACCACTACACCCCTGGGCCAGCCCTGGCACAATTTTCATTTTGATGCTAAGTAAGAGAACTTAGACAAGGGGCTCTTCCAAGTTGTTTTCTTAATTCCATTACTATCTATCTGTGTAGCCTTAGGCAAGTCACAAACTTTCTAAGTTTCAGTTTTATCTAATGTAAAATGGGAATGACAAAATCTGCCTAAAATACATAAAAGATCATGGATAGTGAAGCTAATGGAAGAGTACAGAGAACAGTACACATTCATTTGTTTAATATTTATGGTGTTTCAATTCAATGTAAATTGCTAATCTAGCCACTAGATAGCATATAAAACTGTACAGTCAAAGAGTTACAATGTAGTTTGGGAGAAAACACCAATACAAGGCCACGAAAGATGTTATAGGAGCTTAGAGGAGATGGAAATAAATTCTGACTGGGAACTCAGAGACGGTATCATGAAATAGGTGACATCTGAGCTGGACGATGAAAGATGAGCGTGACTGAGACATGTGGGGTGGTGGGAGGGGATGGAAAGACACATTTGTAGAAGGAACATCACAAACAAATGACTGGGCTTGGGGAGGGGATGTTGTGCAAGACCCCGAGTGGCATGTGGTTTAGTTTGGCTGAAGTGTAAGGGTGCGTAAAGGAGAGTCATCCAAGATAAGTCCAGAAATGTGGATTTGCAACAGATCGTTAAATGCTAGATTTCAGACTTTAGACTTTATTTGGGAAGCTGTGTCGACCCATTGAAGCTATTTGAATAAGGAAGTGCTCAAATACAAGGAGATGCTTTTGGAAGATTCCTCTAGCAGCAAAGTAGAAGATGGCCTGACATGATGCCAAACAGGTGCAAGTGATAATACGTAGTAATAGTAATTTGCTCCAATTAAGCTATATTAATATCTGTGTCTTCTTGCAAACGGGTCTCCTTTCTCTGTGTCATCCCACAGGTCCCACGTACTCGCCTTGGCATAGGTGGGGAGCTGTTGGTCCTGACTGGTTGATGGCTGACTCCCAGTTCTGTGTTTATCCACTGAAGCCCAGTGCAGTTGTTGTGCAAGGTGTCGGCAAAGGACCAGGAGAGGGGACCAAGCACCTCTAAGCTGAAGAATGGTGTGCATCTCTCCCCCTTCCACCGTTTCTGTTCAGGTTTGACTCACAGAGCCTTGCAGCTTCACAGTCACTTATAAGAGGAGGTGGTAAAGACAGCTGCTGGAGAGAACATCTGGCAGGGCTCTGAGCAAATGTTCTTACCAGGGGGATATGAAGCCTGAGACCCTGACTAGCATCTGAGCCCTGGGATGCTGAGCGTTCCCCAACTCGTTAATAAAAGGATCTGCTGGACTCATTGTAAGATGGGAATGACAAAAACTGTCTGGTTTACATACGAGATCACAGATCAGGAATGTTGGAGCGTTTCACTGGCAAGGAATGAAGAGCTCAGCTACAAGCCTCGGAAAACAGGAGCAGGCACAGAGCAACAGCTCGTTGTGTGCTTCTTGCCCTGGGGAAAGGACGTAGTGCCTGTGGACACGGGAGTCCGCTATCAATGCATGGTTACACACACCAACCGCCTGCTCTGTGTGCTGGACCCAGAAACCATAGAGCCTTTTCCCAGCCCTTACATTAGGACAGAGTACGAGGCTCCGAACTCTCTCCAGTGCATCCAAGTATCCTGGGTTTCCCTCATTTTCTGATCACATTATTGACTGGAAGGGGGAGGGGAGGGAGTACAGGTAACTAAGAAGTAGAGCGAGCACATAGGTGTATGAACTATTATAAAATAATAAAAATAGCAACCACTTATTGACCCCTACCATGTGTCAAGTACTCTGTTAGATATTTAACAAATGTGACTTTATTTAATATTTCTAACATTCATTATATATTTCTATTCCCATTTTAAAGACAGGCCAACTAAGGCTTAGGGCGCTTGGTCACCGTTCCACGTAATATTACACTAGAAAATGTGTGTTAAAGGGAGAAATTATACCATAAGTATCATATAATAGGAGCAGTAACATTTCTGCAGTATTTATATTTACGAACTTCTTTCACATGCTGTGAACCATATCCCCATAAAAAAGGAGAGGATTCAGGAAATGAGATGCAAGGAGAAGTAAGATGTACTGAGAAGTTTCCATGCACCAGGCATGTGTGCTATCTAGGTGAATTATTAGGTGTCATCAGCCCTACTTTGCAGACAGTAAACTCAACTTTAGAAGTGTTAAGTAACCTGTGTAATGTTTATAATTCGCGAGTGATAGAGTCAGGGCTAAATTTAATATTGAATTAGATTAAAGGCGAGATAGATTGTGCCAGAACTGGGAGAGATACACCCTCCGCATCCCAGTGAGTTCCTGACAATTGTGATTATAAAAATCACTCAAGTGTGCGTTCAGAACCTACTACCAGGATCAAAAGAGTTGAGTCCAGGACCCATACTTCCAGCTTGCTAGAGGGAACATTCACGCAGACCCTCGAGTCCGTGGCTGAGGAAGTGATGGACACGACTTCTTCCATGTGGCAATGAGGAGCCCCTGAAAGCGGCCTGATGGGGACAGGGATGCAGCAGGGAATGGGCAAGAGTGGAAAGCACCTGAGATTTTGACCACATGTGGAGATAAAAAATGTAAAGCGTGTGATTAAATATAAGTAAGAAGACCCAATCTGTAATAATCTGCACTGACCATTGATAACCTCAGTGTAAGACCAGCTAACAACAGAAAAATTTAAACTTTACAAGGACACTAAAAGGATGATAGTCAAACACAAAAAGATATAATTCTCAAGAGCTTAAGAGGGGCTGTTGAGGAAATTAAGAAAACCTTTTATTATTTTTGTAAAAATTATGTCTTTTATTATATCCTGCTGAGAAAGTCAAATATAAAGCAAAGGATGGAATATTTTGCTATCAGCCAGTTTTAGTGGGAAGATTCGATGAATACCAAAAACAAACAAAAAAACTGAACACTTGATTTATTTTTAATTTATTCTCAGAGTGGATGTATCCTAGTAATTATTTACTTGTTGTTGTCACATGCCATCAAGTTGGCTCTGACTCCTGCTAACCCTATGGACGAGTGATGTCCACAGTGCCCTGTCGTCAGCAGCCCTGCTCAGCTCCTGTGGACTCATGCCCGTGGCTTCCTCTGTGGAGTCAGTCCATCTCACATTTGCTCTTCCTCTTTTCCTGCTGCCTCTACTTTGCCCAGCATTATTGTCTTTTCCAGAGAATCCTGCCGTCTCATGTTGTGTCCAAAGTAGACAGCCTCAGTGTTATCATTTTTGCCTCCAGTGGTAGTTGAGGCGTAATTTGCTCTGGGACCCAGTTGTTCATCTTCCTGGCAGTCCAGGGCGTGTGCAGAGCTCTCCTCCAACACCACATTTCAAATGGATACACTGTTTTCCTCTCAGCCTTCTTCACTGTCCAGCTTTCACACCCATACACAGTGATTGGGAATACGAGGTGTGGACAACCTTGGCCTTGGTCTCTAATGACCCTTCCTTACACTCGATGATCTTTCCTAATTCTTTATTGCTGCCCTTCCAAGTCTCAATCTTCTCTTGATGTTTTGGCTGTGGTCTCCATTTAAATTCATGACTGAACCAAGGTGAACAAAGTCTTTAACAGTTTCCATGTCTTCCTCGTCTACGTTAAGCTGTGCAGTTCTGTGGTTGTGATCTTCATCTTCTTGATGTTCAAATGCAGACCTGCTTTGGCTCTTTCTTCTTCTGTCAGAAGTCGTTTCAGGTCGTTGCTGCTTTCTGCCAGTAAGATGGTGTCATCTGCGTACCTCAGATTGTTGATGTTTCTTCCGCCAATTTCCACTGCTCCTTCATCTGAGTCTAGCCCCGTTTTTCGTATGCTATGTTCTGCGTAGAGATTAAACAGATAGGGGAATAAAATGCACCCTTGTCTGATACCTTTGCCTCTAGGAATCCATCTGTCTCTCCATAGCCTGTCCTGACAGTGGCTTCTTGTCCACAGTACAGGTTAGGCACCAGGACAGTCAAGTGCTGAGGCACACCCCTTCCTTTCAGAGCAGCCCAGAGCTTTTCATGATCCACGCAGTCAAGGGCTTTCCTGTCGTCTGTGAAGCATGGACTAACCTTCTGAGACCCTTTGGAGCACTCCAGTAGCCAAGGAGTAACCACAGTCAGGCCTCGTGTGCCTCTCCCTTGTTGAAGTCCAGCTTGGACAAAAGGCACTTCTTGCTCCATCTGAGGTCAAAGCCTTTATTACTTGAGTATTATTAAATACAAGATCAAATAAGTGTGTCTTTATAATTATTAGGTTCAACTTTTAAAATGAAGTCATAGTCCCACCATTTTCCCCGTTATTTTCTCTGGAAGTTTGATCCCCATTTGCGGTGGACTTACTTTAAGTAGTCTTTTCCTGCTAAGGAATATACTCCTGTGCATGATAAGGATGGAATTTCGGTCAGCAGGGAAAGCATGGACTATACAGAAAATGATGTTGCCTCACATCATACACGAAATAATTAGAGAGTTAAATATTTTTAAAAACCCAACTCGAAAGTCTTAGAGAAACTATGAGTGGACATTTTTATAATCTTGAGGTAGGAAGGCCTTTCTAAGCAAGACACAAAGTCAAGGAGTCATAAGAGAAAAGATTAAGTATCTGAAACTTCTATATGCAAAAACTCCATTATAAATAAAGATAAAAAAGAAAGCAATTGTCTGATAGAGAATATTTACAATGCACATAATAGACAAAGCACTAATATTAAAGAGCTCAAAATTCAGAAAAGATACAAATAAGCCAACTAAAATGTACAAAAAGCTATGAAGAGGCAATTCCCCAAGAAGGAAACCAAATGACTAATAACAACATGAATAAAGGCCCAATTCACCAGTAATCAGGAAAATGGAAATTAAAATATTAAAATGGGTTTTATTTTCCATCCAAGTTACAAAAATTTTGCAACACAAAATATTTAGTGTTGGTGAAGGCATAGGGAATTAGATATTCCTACATACAATCGGAGGATGCTAAATTTGAAAGCCTTTTTGCAGAGTAAACTGGCAGTATCTATTAAAATCCAAAATATGCATATGCTGCTAAGAAATAATTTTACTTTAGTTACCATTCTAGCGTAATTATCGTACCTGTGCACAAAGATGTAGGACAATATATATAGTGGCTAAAAACGTGAAATAACGTAAACCTAACAGGAGAAGACTAAGCCCCTGATGGCGCATCTGTACTGTTGAATATTACATCGCTGTGAAAAAGAATGAGATGTCTCCACATGTGCTGACGCAGAAAGATCTCACCCCATAGCTGTTTTTAGAAAAGACGTATTTTTTTTTATTGTGGTAAAATTGCTTTATAACATTATAAAAATTTCAGGTGTGCATCATTATATATTTCGATTTCTGTGTAGATTACATCATGTTCACCACCCAAAGACTAATTACAATCCATCACCACATGCATATACCTAGAAAGGATGCATTTTTATGTAAATATATGCAACAAATGCATAGTGAGAGGATGAAGGTACACACACCAGCCTGTTCCCAGGCGTTGTCTCTGGGCGGGGCGGTGGGCCTAAGGAGACGTGGTGAAGGGGAGACTTTGATTTTTCATTTTAGCTACTCGTATGGCTTGGCTCCCTTAGCAAACAGAGCCAAGGCAGAGTGTACACGCTAATGTTTAATGGCAGGTGCAGGCTCAGGAGAGCAAAAGACAAGGAGAGGGAAAGGAAGAGGGATGCAAAGAAAATACAAGATGGTGCAGCACCAAGCAAGACAAAGCCACACACACACGCGCACACACCGTATCTGGTTTCACAGTAAATCAAACACCCCAGAGAAGCCATATGAAACCCCTGTGCTCCCATTGTTCTCTGAGAACACCGTGTCTGGGTAGGAAGGGCAAGCAAGTTTATTCTGGCTCCTCTGCTCTCCTCTAACTCCCTCCCCAAGCTTGGTCCCACGGGGCATTACCCCCCAAACCTCGACGTAAGGTTACCCACTTTCCAGGCAGGCTCTAGGGAATCAGGACGTCTGTGAGTTTGGGTGGTTAGACCCCGGGGCTGGAGCGGCTGTGACTCTCACTTTGGCAAGTGCAATGGAGGCTTGAGGAAGCCTGGGCCTCAGCCCAGAAGAGACAAGACACCAATGCTGTCAGAAGATGAAGTGCCTACAGTGGCGACCAGGATTTAGCGGCTGCAGGAGAGCTGGGAGCCATGACTGGGGCCCCTTGGCTAGGAAGCAGGGCCAGCAGCCAGGGCCCAGGGGACAGATGGAGCCTCTTAGGTGCTAGAAGTGCATAAGTACTATTGGTACCAAACTTCTGAATTTTTACTTTTTTTTTCTTTTTTTTTTTACGAGGGAATGTATTCAAGTATAGGACGTATAATTTTTTAAAATTTAAGAAGCAGCATTAAAATAGCAACGAGATAGCATTTTTAATCTTTTAATTTAAAAATATTTTTAAAAATAATGATAGCAGCCCTTGACAGAAATGTGATAAAATAGGCATTCTTACGTGCAGTTGGAGGAAAAGTAAATTAAACCTCTGTGGAAGTAATTAATTCAGTATGTACCAGAAATCTTTAAATTGTTTGTACGCTTTGATCCAGTGCAAAGATGTTCATTGCAGCATTGTTTATAATAATAAAAAATTACCAATGACCTAAACACCTAACAATCAGAGAATAATTAAATCATTACTGTGTAGCCTCTTTGTATATTCCATACAGCCACCGAAAGTCATGTTTATGGAGAATATTTGATGACTTTATGAAACACCCGTTACATAATTTTAAGTGAGTAAATCAGGATATGAAACACCGTATGCATTCACTGCCGACACTTCCCCTCCATACACCACACACACACACACACACACACACACACACACACACAGTATTTTAACTCCACTTCTTCTCCGTGTCGAGCACAGTCCTTCTTGCCTTTCACCTCTGCAAGTGCATGCAGTATGCATGCCCGTCCTCTGCATGGGTTCTCTCTTCCTCTGTTCGCACCTGTCTCACTGGTCTTTCACAGTTTCCTTTGAAAAACCTTCCCCAACCAGTATTCTCAATCTAGGCTCAGTGTCCCTCCTATATGTTCTTCCAGCTCCTTGTTCGCTCCTCTATTTTAACAGACCTCATCGTATGATAATAATCTGTTTACTTTTCTGTCCCACCCACCTGCCCACACACACGTGTACACATATGCATACGTGGAAACACACACACATGATTATGCTTCCCTTGAAAGCAAAGATCTTCATTTTCCTAAACCCTTACCCAAGTACTTGGTACATAATAGGTGGCACTCATTCTTTTTTACTGAATGAATGAATAAATTTCCCCAGATGCCTGGAGAAGGAAAGAAGGGAAAGTTCTCCAGGTCTGCTGTGGATGGTTTCCCCAGTAGAACCAGGGAGAAGGAGCTGGGGAGATTTGCTCTGTGCAGGAGGGCCCAGGGGGACCTGGTGACGTTGCAGTCCCAAAGCTATGAAGATGGGCATTTGATCAATAAAACTCTTGCCATAATCCCAGCCTTTGTCTCTTCATGGCACTTTCTCTAAAGAGCTTGAAGTCCAGCTACAAATTAGGAAGACGGGCTCATGTCATTGAGATACAAAGCTTTTGCCTTGAGATAGAAGCCATGAATTTTTGTGTTTGTTACACATACACTTCGCCTTCTTTGAGGAGAGGAAATAAAATATAGCCTTGTACCTCTAACTACTTGCGAAGTAGCACGGGATGGTACACAAGGGAAAAAATACTTTGCAAATCATTGATCCACCTTAAGAATTCTTTTGGCAGTTGATAAAGCAACTTGCACACTGCACGAGAGCAGAGCAGCATCCTCTCTCCCACAAGGATCACCAGGAAATTTGCTTGAGGATAACTTTTTTTTCCATGTTTTCTTGAAATATTCTTTATCAAATCCTCCATCAAAACAAGTGGGGCTCAAATATGCTCTGGTGAAACCTCATTTTATTGAAGTTTCGGTTGTTGAAATAGAGAGAGTCTGCTCCCTGTTGGAATAAAGAAACTCTGCCTTCTTTATTCAAACATTTTCCTCCTTCACTTCTCATCTCTCTCCCGTCGCTGCCAATCAC